TTTTTTTTTCTAATTAATTAACATGTTTTTATTAACTCACTTTCTTGTCTGTTTGTTTGTCTGGATCAAATTTTGAAACTCAAATTTCACTCACTTCCCAACTAGCTTTCAAGCTGAAACTTTCAGGATAGCCTAGAAACTGATGACAATGCAATCTTTTGTGAAAATATAAATTTTAAGAATATTTTTTAAAAGAATAAAATAATCATAGTAGATTAAAAAATTAATCTAAAAAACCACGTTTTCAAAAAGCAAAAAATAACCTTAAACGTGGTGCGCATCTATTTCATTTGTATTTCACTTCTTCTCAACAATCTCCATGCGCACCACATTTAAGGTGTGGTTTTTTAGATTAATGGTTTTTTAGATTAATTTTTTAATCTACTATAATTTTATTTATCAAGTGAAATATACTGTGTACATTATTAGAACCATGGCCAAATTCCGACGATGAAGGGGCAGATTTTAACTACCCTTACATCTACGCCTAAGATCTGAAACGTCTTGAAAATGGTTACTACACGTTTTCTTAGATGTCGCAGTAATCTGCCAGCTTGCTTTCGGGTTGTGGTACTCATCCTTTCGGGCCTATTCAACCCGCCTTCCACTCTGTTTTCAATTACTCTGTAGAAAAGAATTGGTGCACTTGAACCTTGATAACTTGAATTTCCTCATACATATCGAATACCTTCCAATGTACGTTTTCAAGTACCTGTCAGATTTCCATTAGAAAAACTGTCGTAAATACCCACATGCTAATTGCTAATTCAAAGATGAACCAACGCTTTCCTTCTGAAAGAATCCATGACCTGATCTTATAAATTTTCTGGATGCCTTTTGGCTGTTATTTTATTGACACTTCATGAATAAGAGGAAAGCGATGCATATGTAACTTGATGTTTTTTGAGCTGCTGTGATCCAGAGACCATTTGGGCAAATGAACCCTAGCAGGTCCAAAATTCAGCAAAAAAGCAATTTAAGGTCCAGAATATCACTGATTACAATTTCCTGTAATTCTTCCTTCTTTCCCCCCAACAGCAAAAATGCTGGTTTCTCTAACTCGCATCATCACCATCAATATAACCCAATTTATTTATGTTTTTCTGATCCCTTGTATTTTGTCGGATCTCTTTCTCATTTTATTCTCCCCACATTTTTGCAATGCCTTCTTGCTAAGCTGGGAAAATGGCGATGCTGACAGGACTCAAATTACAACTTCCCATACCGCGAATCCGTGCTGAAGGTGGCAAGGGATACGGATCCGGATCCGCCGAAGGTGACAGTGCTGAATTCGGCCATGCTGAACGACGAAATGGCGATCAAACCAATGGCAAATACTTCGTCAAATTGCCCGACGGTCGTCTCCAGACTGTCGAATACTACGTGAGTGGTGACTCTGGTTACGTCGCCAAGGTCTCCTACGACGGGTCCGGCGAATCCGCAGAACCCATCAAGCGCTATACAACTAAAAATGTGACCATATGAACATCGATAAACAACATCAGCTGGTCGTTGATCAATGAAGAAATGAAACCCGCGAGGAAAACGAGTCGATTCTCCAAAGATACCTTGGAAGTCTTCTGGACGTGTTCAAGTGATACAAAATGTGCTCATAATTTATGTTTCTCTGTCTCAACTTGTTCTGTATACTCTGCATCTTTCGAATCCGCGATGAGAAAAATGCAATATTTCTCGTGAGAAACGCACCATGAGCTTACAATACTCATTTTTCGAATAACAGGAGACAACAAAGTTTAACAACAGTTTTCTTCAATATATAGTGAGTGAAAGATGCTGGCATCGTCCTGTTTGTGTCAAAAAAATGGCAAAGCACATCAACTGAAACGTTTGAAAAGTTTCTCTCTGCTGTTTCGAACCCACGTAAATTAAATTGAAATAAGAGCAGCTTTGAGGCATGAATCATACCGTCGAAAATTAAAATAAGACCCTTTTAAAGAATGAATCTTCAATACTGTACATGCACCATCGAAATCAATTCAAATGATCAGTTTGGTTATTAGTTTTTCGATTCTCGATAATGCGTGGAATTATTTCAGAAACATACTTTTTATCGTAGTCATTCTGTGAATCATTTTTTTGAAATTGCGTTGCTGTATTTTCGATTTCCTACAAAAACCCTAAAAATGTAAAACTTCTTCTGTCGCGGGCCGACTATAGAGGTCGCCCGCCGCGTACCGCGGAAAATACGTAAGTGCACAGCAGGCACCGCGGTACGACAATATCCTACCGCGATACACCAAGGACGCACAAATACCTGGAACCACAGACCAGACAATTCTACTCAATCAGTAACATAAATATATTTACTAACAAATCCAATGATAAACTTTCCACCAAATGAACTTCCCACATGGTGAAAAGAATTATGAAGAATTGCCACCAGAAACAGGAAGACAACCTTGGTGGAATCTTCCACACAAGAAGGACCAGACCCAGGAATCATCATACCCAGGAATATTAATTCCAAGCTGAGCCCTGCAGTGAACAGGACATTCTATTGTTGTGAGCAACTTGTGAAAACCGAACTTTGAAAATATATACTACTGACAGTCAGGTGTATTGACATCTGAGGCCGCAAACGGCCAACAGTGCATTCCTTGATTATTTTGTATAAATGAGAAACTATTCTTGCTGGTGAGGTCTTTGGGACCCACCAAGTCTTCTACCTTACAGTTTGCTTCTATGGAGAAACAAAAATGGGCTGAGAAGAATGAACGATTGATGTAATTAGCTTTTGCTCTGATGCTTTTGGATTCTATAGCTGTAATCTCAAGTCTTGTGTAACAGAAACCAGTCACAAAGATGATCACAAAACATGTGTATTTCTATAGCCGTTTTCAATGTGATTGTCCAAAGTAATATTTTTCATGTAGAAAATAATTGAAAATAATCAACATTATGAAACAGAAACACAAAAGCCAGAACAAATTCTACATGATTTACAGCTATATAATAGAAGGTCTGGCCTAGCTAAACAATTATTCAACATTTTAGATTTGCTTCTATGTACGGTATTCCGTTATATGATAAAAACTGCTTTTATTCTGCATTACCTCAATATTTGCGCGTATAATTTGTTTTCGCACAAAGGTCTGGTAATCATCAACAGCTGCTGTGGATTATGCTTCAACATATTGTTGATCAAAGAATTTACTGCATAAGAATTTACAGTGCTGGTGAAAAAAAATTCTCTTTTAAGATTTGAAATTATACTCACATAGTCACATCATCATTGGATGCACCATACAAATGGGAAAAGACAACTTTTTCCGAGTGGCTTTGATCACCGCAAAATTATTTCCATTACATGGTACTGAACTTTACAAAATTAACAAGACGACATACATTTAAAATCCTTGCTGGAAATGTAAATTATGATTTATGAAAAACTCGGCTATATTGCAGATGGGTTCTTCATCACTAGTTCAACTTTCCTGCATATACAGGAGTATCAGGTGGAAAATTGGTCTAATATTTAGTACACCTTGCATTGAATGGAAAATACAAAATTTGAATTGAACATGCGTTTTTAATCAAAATATTGGCATGTTGATATAAAAGAACGTGGATGTGTTGCTCTCAATCATTCTGGCTCGAAGTCCTGCAATATTGCGGATTTTGCTCACGTTTTCGATTTATGCAATGAGGTTTTGGTTATAAATCCCATTTGCTTCATTACAGGGGATCGTACTGTGTTTTTGGCAGAGGAGTGAACTCTTCAATTTTCATCTTTCATCATCGTTGAAATTCATTGCTTTTACGCATATATCGTGTCAAACATGACTGCGAAACACTTGGTAAGTTTCTTGCAAGTTATTCTCTGACAAAAAATATTAAAAACCGGAACAAGAAATGGACTTAATTATCTTTTATTGCGTAAAATAATTTGTTTCATGGAATTATCCTCTCACGCAGGCATTGATCTTCATTTGGTTACTGATGATGAACTTCGCCAATTGTGATTCGACGAATGCTGCCCCAAGCGAGAACTCCGCAAGTTTTTTTTTTCTTATGACCTGAATTAAAAGCAAGATTTGAAGATGGTGAATCCAATTTTCTTTCAATTTTTCAGGCCAGTGGAAACAAACACACTCATTCTGGAACCTCAGAAGAGATCTCTGATCCTGATGATTGGTTGCAGCAGATTAATGGAACAGTGGCGCAAGCCTTGAAACAGTTGCAGAAAGCCAGGGAATATCTTGAGTAATGAGTTCATTAAGAACAAGACAAAAGTCCTGGAAGCAGCACGCACGTCTAATTGAAGCTAAACATTTATACTTTTCTGGAACAACCTCAATACACCTTGCCATGATGATGACGACAAGGGTTTATTTTTTGGTGACATCAAAGTGTGGAACGTCGTTTCTGCAACAGATATTTGACTTCAGAGCAATATGCGGAGGAAATTGTCTTTGAATGTATAGTTGTTCCTCATTTTAAATTTGCTAATGTTGTTCTTTGTGCATTGATAATTTCACGTGGTCAACTCCGACGGTGTCATCCCGGAAAAGAAATTTTATTTTTGTGTGTGAATAAATTCAAGTATACTGTATACAAATATTCCTTGCGAGATTTCCAAAAGAAATTCTGCAAAAAAGGCATTCGATTCCACACTGGAAATTACGCTCCGTTGCGTACCTGCACAGAGAATAAAGCAAATAAATGCTGTAGTAATGCCTCAGGATTACAATATCATCTTATTATCTTACACAATCAGCTTGATTTAGAACATTTTTGCATAACATCTACTATTATAAAGTTGCTTGCCGTCATCGGTTCGCAGTTTTTTTAATTTTCACCCGCCCTCCCTTCCTTACTGCCCCTTGCCTCCCTCCCACAGAGCCCCAGAGAGGCCTGCAGGAGGGTCCCGTTTCCCGCGGTGGGGACTTTAAAAATTTGCCAAAAATTGAATAAACTAGCAAAATTCATTTTTAAAACTTCATAATAAGCACCATGATGTTTTCTACATTTTCCTTTTTTTAATTTTGAAAAAGCTTGAAAATTCATAAAGTTACAGTGTAAAACACAAAACCTTTTTCAAAAACGGGGATGAATCGGGAAAAAAACACTTTTACATTTATAATTTTAGATTTTTGAATTTTTCATTTTTCCCCATCAAAAAAATATGTAAATTTGCAAAACATCTATGCGCATTTACCCCTAAATTATGATTTATATTCCATTAGTGAAAAAAAAGTTATCATGAGCTAAACTCAAAAAAACGGACTTTTTTGAAAATTCTGTTTTTGGTTGTTCCAACTTTGAAAATTTGACAAAAATGTAATTCTACATGAAACTTGCTTTTTAAAACTGTATCAACAGCGCCATGTTGTTTCCCACATGTTCTCATTTTTAGTTTTTAAAAAACTTGAACATTGACTGAAATAAAATGAAAAATGCAAAATTTTTTTTGCAAATTGTATGAAAATTGGGAAAAAATTTTGAATTTTATCTCAGTCAATTTTCAACATTTGCCAAATACTTTCACTAGGAAGAAGATAGATGGCAACCATGCTATTTTTTTATATTCAGTGCATGAACTGTCAATGTTTTTAAAATTTTTTGTTTTTTAACTTTAAAAAATCATGAAAATTAACAAAGTTATGCTCACAAATATAAAAATAATTTTCAAAATCTGGGAAAAAATCTGGAAAAAATTTCTTAGTGAAGCAAACACAATCAATGGAATTTTCAGCATTGCACTATACCCCTCTAGACTCCCTCCCACTTAAAATTGAAAATTTGAACCAGTAGCCTGTGCACCACTTATTTAGCTACAATATCCTATTACTCCTGCTATCACACACAGCATAAGGCTTTTGTTTGAACTATGGTCCCTCCCTGCTGTTACCCCCAGGGGGGGGGGGTGTTGGGGATGGAAGGGAATTGAGCACACAAAAACCTAGGGAAGTGGCAGCAACTTTAACAGATTAGGAGAGTAGGGTACCCAGCCACACCTGAGCAATGTGCATAAAACTGGTGGTCCATGGCATGTAACCAGCTTAATTTAATCATTCAATATTTTCAAATTCTTTACATAATGTGTACTATGTAACAATAATACACCCACATTTGGCTGGGCACTCCAAGTTGGGATTGTAACAAGTAATAAAATCCCCATGCTCATGTGTCAGTTGTGGCCCACCGGGCCACAACTAACACATTGAGCACAAGTACAAGATTACCGGTGGTCCTTCACCAGTTAACCAACTTTAATCATAAATTTTTTTAAAGTTCTCTGCATAATTTGTAACATGATGAACAGTTGCATGAGGGCACCCCCTCTTCCACATATTAATTTATGTAGTACTGTACATCAAAGTTTTCAAAACTAAAATGTGTCCAATGCCCAGGTGTGGCTGGGCACCCCCAGCTTGTCTTACCTAATAAAGTTACTTGCGACGTTGGTAGGTATACATCCATTGAGCACTCCATCCCTCCTGACTTTTCCCCCTACCTCCCTCCCATAGAGACCACAGAGAGGCCTGCAGGAGGGTCCCATAATACATTGAGAAAGGAAGTTAGAGTCAGTTGGGCAAATGAACCCTTCTGTCCAAGTTAAGCACACTGTAAACTTATTTAAGAAGCATTTTAAGGCACAAAATATCAAAATTTAAAAATTTAGAGAAACCTATGCGTCCTACAACAAAATCTCTTGGTTCACACACATAACCCAAAACCTTTTGTAAGTCCAATTTTTTGGTGGACCCTCTAAATTCAACTGAACAGCTTTGACTGTATTACCCCAAATGTTTACACAATTCTTCAATATAATGCAGCAATTCCCATAAAATGCAAACATTGAGCATCCAACATCCTGTGAACTCATCAGTTGGCAAAGAGGTTATGGTACTTCAAATGAATTTTCTTGAGCCTTGAATGGTACAAATCACTTCAGATTTCCAGGGCACTTAGAACACTTTTGCCAGTTCAAGCAGAAGATGCATAATTTTTGGTGCAAAACAGCACACCATCAAAATGAATTGAACTGCAACTGTTTGAAAGCAGGTTCATTATCTCAATTCAAACTTCCAAAAAGATACTCATGAAGATTGAAACATAGCTGCTTCAATTTCCACAACATGAAATAATTTGCTTATAGTGATTTTTGTGTTCTTATGTTTTCTTGGCTAAATGTTTGAATGTATCCCAACCATGCTGCCCAAGGGTGAAATTCCTCCATGCTAATGCTATGACAGGCATTTTGAAGATGCCACACAGGAGTAAATAATTTTTACGAACATTATTGTGCAGAAAGTCAAAATGATGGGATTTTTCTGAACTTCAGCTCATCTGATAATGCTAGGTTTGAAAATGTTTTGGACTTGTGGCAAAAAAAATCCTGTCTACACCAGAGAAGGGTTAAAGGATGTTTTGAACTTTGCATAATGACAGCCAAACCTGTGTTTGTTACATAAGTTTATTTTACCTCTGCAAACTTGTAAGTCAAGGACTTAAATGTACTGCCTAATAAAAGTGAGAAGAACTTGCTGCATGAAAAGCTTTGGCTTGTGCACTTTTGGTACAAAGCAACTTTGCCCATACAATCAATTGAACATGCAGGAAACATCAACAGACTGTAGGTGTACTCACCAAATCCAGAGAAGAAGGCAAATCTTGCAGGGTTCAGGAAAAATTACACTGAAATGGGATATCATACAAATTTGTATGAGCAATGTACACCCTCAGAAATTTGAAAGGCAAAATAGCTGCAAAGGAGACAGGAAAACTCCAGACATACTTGTAAAAACATCTGAGCATTTACCTAGGCTGTCAGATTAGAAAGTCTTGAGAAGAAAATACTGCAAGTGTATTCACCAAACGTGAAGAGGCAGGCGAATCTTGCAGAGTTTGGGAAAAACTCACTCTGAAATGGGATATCATAAACAATTTAACACTCACAGAAATGGCTGCAGACTATCAGTTTTCAATGCTCAATTATCAATATGCAGAAGAGTTAATAAAGTGCTTGGAAAACATGGTGGTTGGGAGGAAAGTTAGCATGAAGGTACTCACTACACATGCAGAAGGTGGGTAAAGCAAGTTTATGGCAACCAGGATCACAACATTGTTGAACTTCCAATATAAATCATGCACTTGATGATGGCTATCTGCAAAAAAAGGATTCCAAAGTGAAATGTGATGAAAATTCAGGCACATGAAGGATCTTAACATATTTACATTCAGTTAATTGTGCACCATGAAAAATAACCAGGAATGGATGTAGAAGAATCAGATGCAGGAACATTTACTGCGTTATATATCAGGCAGTGCAAAGAAGGCTGGTGAGAAAAATTAATTGGTAGCAGATGGGGAAAAAAGCACATCCTGAATGATTCACATGTGCTCAGATTGAGCACAATTACAAAATTACCGGTAATCCTTTTAAAATTCAATTTTTATTGCTTTTCTCTTTCCTATGTAAAAAAACAATAGTTGAAAAGCCTCAGACAATCCAAGTTATGGGGGCTTGAGAAAAAAATCTTTGACTTAGGGGGTTTTTTGTGCATTGTTTTTTGGAGAGTATCCAGACAGGGACTTTCAGAAAATATGACTTGGAAAGGTATTTGATTTGAGCTATACAGATCCACCTGTACATGTACATGGATAACTTTTTCCTGTCTTGAGCAAAGAGTAACTTCCTTTGCTGTTGCTTTGGCATCCAATTCAACCCAATCCAGGAATGCATTCAAGAAGTGGAAAACATCATGAAGAACACCACAGTGCACCAACAACACCCTAAGGACATGCAAAATTGCTGAGTTCAAGTGTAATCATACATTTTTCAATGGTTTTATTTCCTGAATTGCTGTGTTCTGCCACTCTGTGGTTATATTCCATGTTTTTCCACTGTGGTCTGTGAAGTAAAAACTTGATCAATGTAAATGTGATGTTTTTCGTTCATACTTCCTATCTGCTGATTTTTGATGTATTTATGTTCTGCTTCATGGGATGTTCAATAGAAATTTTGTTCTCATCCCTACAGAATATTTCTGAATCCAAACATGGAAAATTTGCAGTCACTGACCAATGAAAGATAAATCTTACACACTGCATCACGTAATCGCCAGCTGACTGATGCAGAAAGCAGGAGACTACAAGAAGTTAAGGTTCTCCTCCACCAAGAATCTGCAAGGCAGAGTTCTGCAAATTGCCAGGCTGCCATGACACTTACTCAGAGGAATCAAATCCAGGAGCAAAACAGAAGGTATGCTTTTGCAAGAAGAAGAACTGTTCCACAATATGAAAGGATTTGTGCAGGTAACCAACGTGAGTCAATGACTCTAGAAGAAAGAGAAAATGTCAACAGGAACCGTTCCACACAACGACCTGCCACTTTTACAAGAAGTGGCCAATATTCTGCCCTGATACCAGATGCAGGCTTTGACCAATCAGTGTATGGCAATATAAACATCTTCAAACAGACCCTGATCCCTATGAATATTGTTTGCCCCTACTGCAGTGCCTTAAAATGGAGACAAGAATCCGAAGTATTTTGTTGTGCAGAGGGGAAGATACAACTTCCAAAATTTGACCCTGCGCCTGCTGATCTACAGAACCTTTACAGCAACCCTCAATTCATCCAAAATATCCGAGCCTATAATATGGTTTTTGCATTCACATCCCTGGGAGCCTCTTTAACAGAGAGGCTCAGGGTGGATCAAGAGCTAGCAAATGGAAGGAATGGAGTGTATACATTCAGGATTCAAGGTACACTCTGTCACCAGATGGGTTCACTGCTTCCACTGGAGGGCTCTGCTCCAACATTTGCACAGATTTATATCCATGATACAGACATGGATAATCTGGCTGATTGACAGTGCTCAATAATGGATTGCCTGGATAGGAACACTGTCATACAAATTGAAAGGATGCTGCAGGGTGTGAACCCATTTGTGGCACTTTTCCAGTCCATTGGCTCACACCTGAAACAGAATGAAGAATTGAGTCTCAAAATTCTAGAGCATGTAGACCATGACCTTTGGAGATACAATCATCCATCAACTGATGAAGTTGCTGCTCTGATCATGGATGGCAATGGTTATCAGGGTGGAAGAGATTTGATTGTACAGCAGCGCAGAGGAGGCTTCTACAGAATTTTTGAGACCTGGGCACAATATGAGCCACTCCAGTACCCATTGTTGTTTCCGTTTGGGGAACTGGGGTGGTGCCCAGATGTGAAGTATGCCAATGGAACTGTTAGATATGGAACTGCAAGTGTTACTGCAAGAGAGTTCTATGCCTACAGACTGTTACCAAGGGGTGAGATCTCCCTCCTCTTGCAAAGTGCAAGACTCTTACAGCAGTATGCGGTAGATCAGTATGCAAAAATTGAATTAGCTTGCATGAGGTTTATACAGATGAAGCAGAAGATGCACTGCATAGAAGTGCTTGAGGGTATTCAAGATATGACCTGGAATAACCACTCACTGGACCAGATTGGCCATGTGATACTCCCAGCCAACTTTACTGGCAGTGAGAGGTGCATGAGGCAGCACTTCTATGATAGTATGGCTATTTTCCACAAGGTTGGGAAACCTGATTTGTTTATCACAATCACATGCAACCCAAAATGGACAGAGATAACAGACAATCTCATGGCCAATCAGACACCTCCAGATTGTCCAGATTTGATAGCCAGGGTCTTCAATTTGAAGCTGAGGGCAATCATGGAGGACATCAAGGTGAACTCAATCTTTGGAAGTGTGCTGGGATATATGTATGTCATTGAATATCAGAAGAGAGGTCTTCTGCATGCACATCTTCTGGTGAAACTGATGTCAGAGTTCAGTCCAAAGTGCCCATCAGATTATGACAAGTTTGTGTCAGGGGAAATTCCAGATGCTGCCAAGAACCCTGACTTATATGACAAAGTTGCCCAGCACATGATGCATGGTCCATGTGGTGTTCTCAACAAGAATGCTCCATGCATGAAGGATGGCAAATGTTCAAAACATTTTCCAAAGACCTTCAGCAATGAAACAAGGACTGATGGAAAAGGGTATCCCCAAATGAGATGTCTTGAGAATGGGCATATTGTTTAAAAGAAAGGTGTTCCACTGGATAACCGCTGGGTTGTGGACTATAACCCCTACCTGTTACTGAAGTACAACTGCCACATCAATGTGGAGATTGCTTCAACAATTGCTTCTGTGAAGTATTTGTACAAGTATGTGTGCAAAGGGTCCAACAGAGCAAGGGTGGCAATCACCAGGAATCCAGATGGTGTCGTGGATGAAATTCAAGAATTCCTTGATGCACAATACATCTCAAATGTTGAAGCCTGTTGGAGGATTTTTGATTATCCTCTACAAGAGAAGTCTCATACTGTAGTGTGGCTTCCAGTGCATCTGGACAGGAAGCAATATGTTTCTTTCTGACCCACAGAAAACAGAGATCAAGTTTTGGAACAAGGACAGCATACCATGCTGACAAGGTATTTTGATCTCTGTGCGCAAGGAAATAAGACTGCAAAAGGAATCATTTATCCTGATGTTCCAGTATACTTTGTCTGGTCAAGAGACAAAATGTGGAAACCTAGAGAACAAGGAGGAGAAAAGGCTGTTGGACGCATGGTTTCATGTTTACCTATGGACATTGAACGCTACTGCTTGCGTATGCTGTTGTGCTAGGTCAAAGGACCTCAGAGCTTTCACCACATCAGAACTATCAATGGTGTTGTATATGCATCATACAAGGAGGCCACAAGAGCTGCTGGGCTTCTTGAGGATGATACTGAGTGGTTCAACTGTTTGTCTGAAGCACAGGCATTTAAAATGCCTGTTCAGCTCCGTTACCTCTTTGCAACCATCCTGGTGTATTGCCAACCAGCTGATGTGAGAGGAATTCTAACACTATGGCAATGTCTGAAGATTTTCAACACAGACATGGAGTGAATGGCAATAGTCAAATTGTCATGCTGGAAACATTGAGAGCAGTCAACAACATTCTAAACAGCAGCAACAAATCCTTGCAGGACTACCCAGCACTCCCACAGCTACATGAATTTCAGCATATTGATCTGGGACCTGGCATTAATCATGTTCTGATGAATGAAATGTCCTACAATTGTAGTGAATTGGAGACAATTTCTGCAAAAGCTCAACAAGTGACAGTGCAGCAACAAGCTATATTTGACCAGGTGATGGATTCAGTCATCAGCCCAAATTCACTGCAGCGTGCATTCTTCTTGGATGGACCAGGAGGATCTGGATAGTCATTTGTACTTGAACAGATTCTTGCTGCTCTCTGTCTCCTCAACAAAGTTGTACTTGCAGTTGCATCCAGTGGCATTGCGTCTCTGCTACTCATGGGTGGAAGGACAGTTCATTCAAGATTCAGACTCCCTCTCAAACTGACTGAAGCATCAACCTGTGCTGTGTCAAAGAATTCTGACCTGGCAAAGCTTCTTGAGAGGACTGAGTTGATTGTTTGGGATGAAGCTCCAATGGCACATTGCTTTGCATTGGAAGAAATTGACAGAACACTGCAGGATATTGCTGGAAGTGAGCTTCCGTTTGGTGGAAAAGTTATGCTACTCAGTGGAGATTTTAGACAGATTCTCCCTGTGATTCCAAGAGGGTTGGATGGACAAATTGTGGCTTCCTGCCTTAAATGTTCAACTTTGTGGCATCACTTTACAATGCTCAAACTGGAGCAGAACATGCAACTGCATGCAACCATGGATCCTCAGACTGATGAGGAAAACCAGAATTTTGCAAACTTTCTGCTGGAGATTGGCGAAGGAAGGCATGGAGTGAATCCACAACTGGGACCCAACTACTTCAAACTGCCACAAGATTTCATACTGAAGCCAGAAGAACAGGTGAGGAAAACCAGAATTTTGCAAACTTTCTGCTGGAGATTGGTGAAGGAAGGCATGGAGTGAATCCACAACTGGGACCCAACTACTTCAAACTGCCACAAGATTTCATACTGAAGCCAGAAGAACAGGTAACAGAGTGCAATGCCATTGTTAGGCATGTTTATGGGGACATCTCAACAAGATATCTTCAAGAAGATTATTTCCACTCACAAGCTATTCTTGCCCCACTTCTGGCTGATGTGAAGGAGATAAACAGGCATGTCATGAACAAGCTGCCTGGATCAGATTGTGTATATCTTTCAATTGATGGGGTTGAAGAACAAGAGGGAACTGATGAAACCCTCTATCCAGCCAGAAATTTTGAATGGGATCAATCCTTCAGGAATGCCTCCACATGTACTTGCATTGCAAGTTGGTGCACCCATCATGCTGATGAGAAACATCAATGGAGAGCAGGGCCTTTGTAATGGGACACAACTACAGATATGTCACCTTACAAAAAACTGCATTGATGCAAAAATCCTTACAGGTGCACATAGGGGAGAGAGAGTTTTCATCCCTAGGATCACACTAATCAGTGATGATGAAAGAATGCCATTCAAGCTGAGAAGACGGCAATTTCCTGTGCAACTTGCTTTTGGAATGACAATCAATAAATCCCAACGGCAATCTGTGAAACACTTGGGCATCTATTTACGCGAGCCAGTGTTTTCACATGGGCACATCATGCATGTTGCTCTGTCGAGATGTACTTATAGGCAAACATCAAAATTGTTTTGAGTAATGCAGCACACAAAGATGAGACAGGGGCCTACACAAAGAATATTGTGTTCAAGGAGGTTATTTAACCTCTTAAATGTCAATAAAAAGCCACAAAGTACCATCTGTCATTTTGAGCTTGATCTAGGATCTGATGTTCACCTCCTTGAGTACTGCATCAAGGACTGCCGCGGTGTAGAGGACTCATTCCTTGAAAGGTGGCTCAAGTAAGTCTCACATGCTTAAGGGGGTGTGAATATCATTGCCTGGTCACTTTTTTTAATGCATTTGTTGACAAAACTGCTCTGGAGATCTGCATGGTAAAATCACAAGGCATGTATTGTAGAAAATGTGCCTTTTTTTTAGAAATTGACCTTTTTGAACCCTCATCCTCCAGAAATCTGCTTGCTGTCAATTCTGGAAAAGAATTCTGTGGCTACATCCGTTGGCAAGTTTGGTCCACCTGTCCTCCATCCTCCATGTGCAAATTTCCAGAAATCTACTGAAAAATGAGGTTGGTTGGAAAGGTATATAAAAGTTTTTCATGTTCACAATTCTATGTGCATTCTATGGTCCAGATTCCAAGAAACCAAAGCATCAATGCAGCTGTTTGAGCCAATTTAGACTGGATTTAGTTCATCTCTCCACTGATCATAAATTCTTCAACAATACCAGGTTAGTTCTTGAAAGAACATCTAGATTTTTTAATTCAACTTCTTTGGAATGCAATTTCAGACAAGTTCCCTGAGAAGATCTGCTGGATTATGTCTGCTGCTACATAATGAAGCCAAGCTTTCTTGCAGACAGGGGTATTGTCATCTCTCCTCCACTGTAGCAAACTTTGAACTTCAGAGGTTTGTTCTTGAAATGAATATCCTGATTTTTAATTCAGCTTTTTTGAATGTACGATTTCAGAAAGACAAGTTCTATGTACAATATATGAACATACAAGGAAACCTACACTGCAGATTGGGGTGCATCCATCTCTCCTCCACTATTGAAATGTTCAGCCCTCTAAAGGTTAGTTCTTAAGAAGGTATATGGGTTCTTTAACCTAACCTCAGATAAATGCATGATTTCAGAACAATGAGTGCCATTCAAAGCTATGGATTGTATCTTTTGCATGGTGATGATGGCCCAGCCATTTTAAGGATAGGAGTGTCCCCTGATCTCCACTCAGCTGAATAGTATTCTAAATATTGTCAAGGTTAGTTTTTTTTAATATAAAACCTATGGATTTTAGTCCAACCTTCTGTCATTGTGTGGGTTTCAGTAAAATGAGTGCCATGAGCAGACAGAAATTGCATTCTACTGAAGTGGAGCCTAGGCAAGCCATTCCCAAGATGGGAGTCTGATGTCAAGCCAATAAGGTAGAGTCAAACTTTGAGAGGTTGGATCAGGGATCTTATTTTTGCTGTTTTACAATCCTTACAGATGTGTTTGTGTTATGTGTGCTTTCAGATCCATATGGTACATGACATTCTGTGGCTGATGTAATGCAGTATGGCCAAAGTTGGTAATTCAAAAGAAAATGGAATGTAAAGCCAGCAACAATGAACTGGGTGGTTCCCAGTGATACCCTGGGCCCTATACCTACATAGGAAATGCCCATAATGCAGCAAATGAGCTGGGAGACTGGTAGCCATACATCAAAAAGGTTAGTTCAGTAAATGTATAAAATTGCATTCCTAAAAATTTGTTTCACAGTGAAAAGAAATGTTTTGAAAGTATTAATCATCATTGGTACCTCACACCTTGCCCAGGTGTAGGCTGGGCACCTCAGCTTGTAATAAAGTTACTTGCCATCCTGGGTTTGCACTTTTTTTAATTTTCACCAGCCCTCCCTTCCTTCCTGTGCCTTACCTCCCTCCCACAGAGCCCCAGAGAGGCCTGCAGGAGGGTCCGTTTCCCATTTTTTGAAGTTTGAAAATTTGGGAAAATTAGCATTATCAACCAATAAAATCAATTTTGAAATCTTTAAAAAAAGCACCATGATGTTTCCTACATTTCTATTTTTCAAATTTTGAAAAAGCTTGAAAATTCATCAAGTTACAATGAAAAACACAAAATATTTTTCAAAAACTGGGATAAAATGGGAAAAAATACTTTTATATTTTCAATTTTAGCTTTTCAAGTTTTTGGTTTTGCTCAATGAAGAAAAATTAAATTTTCAAAACATCCATGTGCAATCACCCCTAAAATATGATTAACATTCCACTAATAAAAAAAATTATCATGAGCTAAACTGAAAAAATGGACATTTTTGAAAATTCCATTTCCCATTTTGCTAACTTTACAGATTTGTCAAAATTTTAATTATTGAGCAATTTCCAAATTGTTTCAAAGGTTACATGTGCAATGAAGTTTTCAACATTTCCTTTTTTTTGAAATGTTTGAAAAACTTCAAAATTGCATGAGATAGAATCAAAAATGCAAAAACGTTTTTGAAAATCATATGAAAATCAGGAAAAAAGATTTTGTATTTAGAATTTTTACGCATTCAATTTTGACAGTTTTCAAACATAAAAATATGTAAAATTGTTCAACATCTGTGTGCATGTAACCCTGCCAAAAAGTTTGAAATTTCATCAAAATCCTAGAAGTTACAATGAGCTAAACAGAAAAGTTTGAATTCCTGGATATGTGATTCTTCCCATTTTGCCAAATTACAAAATCTGTTTAAAATTCAATTTCAACTCAATTTCAAAATTTCTTCCAATGTTGCAAGTGCCCAGATGTTTTACTAAATCTCACTATCTCCAATTTTTAAAAATCTTCAAAATTGAATGGGCTATAGACAAAAACACAAAAACATTTTTGAAAAAGTGAAAAAGTTGAGGGGGGGGGATTTTCACTTCTTGATTTTTAGCTTGATCAATTTTCAACATTACTAATTGAAAAACAAGAACATCTTTGTGCACACAGCCCTGTCAAAAATTTCAAGTTGGAGTCTTTAGAAAAAAGATTAAGTGGGGTTTTAGGGGATGGAAGGGAATTGAGCACCACAATAACCTTGAGAGGTGGTACCAACTTCATCAAATTAGAAAAAATAGGGTGCCCAGCCACACCTGGCAATGTGCATAAAACTGATGCTTCTTGGCATGTTACCAGCTTTCAGCATTCAAATTTTAAAATTCATTTTCATCATGTAACAATCATACATTCATGTTTGGCTGGGCACTCCAAGTTGGGATTGTAACAAGTAATAAAAATCCCCTGCTAATGTGCCAGTTGCGGCCCACCGGGCCACAACTGACACATTGAGCACAAGTACAAGATTACCGGTGGTCCTTCACCAGTTAACCAACTTTAATAATAATTTTTTTTCAAGTTCTCTGCATAATTTGTAACATGATAAACAGTTGCATGTGGGCACCCCCTCTTCCACATATTAATTTCTGTATTACATCCAAGTTTTCAAAACTAAAATGTGTCCAATGCCCAGGTGTGGCTGGGCACCCCCAGCTTGNTCAATATAAATCATGAATATTTCACATCAAACAAATGATATTTGGAAAACTTCATAAGGTATGCATTTATATCATACAAATTTCTAGTTTGAATTCTTAGAAACAATTTTGATGTCCATATAGGAAGGGCAGCATTGAGAATGAATAAGAATAAATACAATATAAGAACCCTTTAATAGCAAATTTAATTCAGACAATTTCTCATTGCATGTACTCAACTTTTATAATCAGAGTAATGAAAAGAGAACCTTCAGTAAAGCCATAAGGTTTATAAAAATGAATATTAATTATATTTGTTGATAGTACTTCTCCTATTATACTGTTTATACCTATTCAAACAGGCCTTCTGAAGTCTCTCATGATTTTTCTTCAAAGAGAGAGTGATGGGTTCAGGGAGTGAGGCAGGGGGAAGGGGGAGCAGCGTACATTTGGCAGCTCACATGTGAGCTCTGGTGAGAAGTCTGTCCACCTTATCTTCCTACTCCTACACAATTCTTCAACATGTAATTTGTATCTGCAAGCATGCGCAGTTCATGAAGTCACTCATTTTTGGCATTGAGGGATGGAGTGGTAGGGAACAGCCCTCTGGAGGGGCAGGGGGGAAGTGAGTTGCGTCAAGTTTGAAAGTGTACCATAATGTCACCTCATTTGGTTACTGACTTCTGACCAGAACTGTTTTAGTGTTGACTGAGTTTTTGAAGTGTGTTGTGTTATGGGATCTTGTTTGGCGAAGTAATTGAACTTCAAAAGAAATACACTCTGCTTGTGACTCTGGCCGAAGACCTCTATATCAAACCTTATTGGGGGTTTGTCCGGCTGTTTCCTGATTGCGTCAGAGCCACAGAGATGGCCCGTTACACGGAAAATTCCAAAGCCGTGGCACAGCCCTATGTGCCACCTGCTCCAGTCCCCAACCCACCCGCAGCATCTTTGCCTGCAGGGCCGTCCACAGGGCAGGCTTTACCGGCCAATCCTTTGCCACAACTAGCAGACCTGCCACGCACAACAACGTGACCAGGAGACGTTCAAAGACTACGCGGACTTGCTGCGTTGTATGCTGGCCATCAACAATGTGTCGGCCGACATGAAGGTGTGTGCGGTGGTGCTGGAGTTTTATTTACGAGTTCCATTCTTTGTGACGTCTTCAGGATATATCGAAGAGACAAATTCAGTTGGTTCAGGTGAGTTGGTTTCCGTAGTTTTGATCCAATTACTAACGTGACGATACTGTACATGCACCACCGTATGAAATTCATGATTATAGCATGTTTTCTGATTGGTACTCAGATACCGCTGTGCCCGAAGTCGGAACCGCAGATTCTCTTACATCAGTCTTTGTATGTTTTATTTCAGGACTCCTTCATGAGACCATCAAGCGATGGGGGTTGAGAGGCGTTGTTTGTGATTCGTGGCAAATCTGGGTTGGCGCAAAACTCCACTTCTAGAGGTAAGCATTGTTCGAATATTCATGTTCTGTACACATCGTCTTGTAAGATTGGACGCGATCGTGACGATATGTTGCATGCACCACCTTATGATTGAAGTGATCTATGCATGAGTTCTGATGAGTTAAGTGGATCTTCTGTGTGTGGTACGCTTGTTGTAGTAACGTGTCAACGGATTTTCTGTACTTTGTTTACAGGCCATGTTCGACGTCAGTAGTGAATACTGTGAGCATCTGCCGCCCTGACCTGAGCCGTGGGGCGATTATCCATTTTGGAAAGGTTTATTTCCACTGAAAGTACCCGGAAGAAGTGAGTAGGATATTCTGATACCTTTGTAGTCTTCTTCCTGATGACATGTTCATGCACCACTATGATATCAATGATTCAAGCATGTATTCTGATGATATTTCAAGCAATTTGATGAAATACTCTTGTCCAGTGCAGTGCATTGATGGGTTGTTTCTTTTTTTTCTATTTTTAGCGAGCTGACCGATTTCGTGAAGCTGAGGATCAGTGACCGTGAATCGGCGTAGCAGTGAGGAACATTCTAACGATAATGCGACTCTTCTGTTCAGCTCGGCTTTCAAGGTGATTATTGGCGTTTATTTTCGGCCTTATTCAACTGTTACTTAATGTAGTCTTCCACGTTTGGGTGTATTGTCTTCGTAACGCTATTAAAATGTTCCCTTCTCGCTTGCAGAGTGCGAATCGGATCATGACACTCTCCATCAACGACGTTCGCGTGCTCAACTTGTTGAGGCGTGATTATTGCAAGTACTAAGCCAAGATTACCGGCAGCATCCTGCAAGTGAACGACAGCGATCTTCTGCATTTGTAACCCCATCGGAAATCCATCTGTAATTTTTCTCTTGTCCGTGCGGAATGGTATTTTGACGGAGTTTATTTTGTTTTAAATGCGGATAGTGAAAGTGCCAGTCTACACAAGTCTCTGACGGTAGTAACATAGGTGTCTTCGAGCTCATGATACAGGCAGACTGAGATAGAAACTCATAGGAATGAGAGATATTTCGTTGTGGAGAAAATTTTGTTTCAGAAATTCCCTCTAGCCTGGGAAGTTAACCCTTTTGGTTGGATAGGTTAAAATAGTTCAGAGTCCACCTGCTGTACCATTAAATGCAAGCCGAACTCAATTCTATCTACGACAGGACAATTGTCCGTCACTTTCGGTTATAATGTAATTGTTTCAGTTAATTTTCACCCGTCCAATGTACAGATTTGACTGTTCTCGCAGTCATGACTGATTTGCAATACATATACATTTTGGTTGACGAAAACCTTTAGTCCCAGCAGGAAGCCCTTCAAGTGAATTTTAAAACTATCTCGTTCAAACAAACTTCCCAATTCCAGTATGACCAACTTTTTTGGGGAATGCCTAGAACTAGTACTGTACTGACTTTTCAGTACAGTACCAGTTGCACCAACAGCAGTTGAACGGTAAGCCTGCGGCCCGTTGCAACCCTTTTCTTTTTGTTCACAGGGGGCCCCTGATAGCCATGATCATGCAACCGGAGGCACCACCAATGACAACAACTACCGCACAATGCGGACATCAAATGTGGAAATCAAAACGCTGCACACGGCACAACAACAGCAGGATCTGGTTGACATCCTGCACTCGTTCATTCCACCTTTTCTCAGTTGACTGACTCATTTTTTCACACTTGGACAGAATTTTGGGACCTCCACCCCTGGCAAGATCCCGGACACAAATGACTGGCCAACATTTTCTTTCTATGCATTCTTGGTGCACCTGCGTGCCACTATCTTTGAGAGTCCCTCCCGGTCAAGGACACTCCGCATCCCCCAGTGCCACCACACCCCCAGCCCCCAATGGACCAGCAACATCTATGCAACCCCAGTTTCAGGGTCCTTTGGCAGTTGCCAGCCTGCCGGCTGCTGTTGCCCAAAGAGGGGGGATTTTGTGTTTTGCGTACACATGTCATTACCCAAGTGCAGCATCCATGCTCAGGCACGCACACATCCACACGTAGCAGCAGCCTGCAGACCTGGAAATAGTAAGGGCCTCCCATGGAAACCCTTAGGAACGACATCTACCCTTAGGAACTGTACTAACATTGAGCCACCAGATATCCCACCCAGATTGACAACCCGATGCAAGATAACCATCTGGACTGGAGGAGAGGTGGCAAGGCCGAGATCTGAAGCATCAGAAGGAATTTGACTCTTGACAAGCACTGTTGTTTTTATACTGGACCATTGCCTTTATTGTGTGATCAGTGTTGTGAGTGTTTGCTGTTGTCTACGGGACTTGGTGGAGGAAATAAACTCTGCTCTAACGTGGCGCTGCCTGAGGACTGATCTGTCAGACTTTATTGGGGGTTTGTCCGGCTCCAGAACCTTGATTGAGCAGACGTCACGGAGGTGATGACACCCAACACCAAAAATTCTTGAGTGGCGGCACTACCCTATGTGCCTCCTGCGCCAGAGTTGGTGGAAAACCTACCCGCAGCTCCACCCACAGCCCAGGTCCACGCAGCACCTCCAGCTCCTACGCCACCAACGTGGAGCGAACCCATGCCAAGTGCACCCTTGTTGCAGACGGGCAGCCCGTGGGACGCAATCCTGCTGCCAACATTGCAATACCTGGTCAAAGCTTACTGACTAGGTCCTCCAGCCGGGAACAACCGCACGGAGTACGTCACATTATTGGAGAACAATCGTATACCCATCTCAATCGCCTCCAGATGGATACCACGTCCCGGGTGGCACCTGCGGCCCCTTGATCTGCAGATAGCGTCATGGACTCCATCATAGTCGCAGGAGATCGTCATAGTCAGCGCTGCACCACCACCACCCGTGAGGCAACCTTTTCCTTATTGTCAGCCCGGCAAACCGCAGCTTTCCGATATGCCGCGGCAACTCGAATACAAAACGTTTGAAGATTATGCAGACCTCCTACTCCGGACCCCCGCGATCAACAATGTTTCCGCAGATATGAAGGTGTGGTGCCTTCTTAATAAAACCCTCCCGTTGGTCTGAGAAACAGCGTCCATACTTTATGGACGCGGAATAGTTGACTTTGAAGACCTTGTTGCAGAGATTGCCATTTTGCATCCAACACCTCATCTGAACAAGTTGGACCAGTTTTGGCTGCTATGCCCCCAGTCCGGGGAAAGTTACGTCAGCTTTGCCAACAGGTTAGAGCAGTCCTTTGACTCCTTCCTTGCACCACCACACCAACCCGTCACAGCAGAGACAATTCGGCACAAGATGCTAATCGAGCTGGTTTTGGCGGCTCCTTCCGGTCTGCAGGATGAGCTTTGTAAGAAGTGGATCAACAACAGAAACTGGACCTGGGAACAAGCAGTGGTGGAAGCTGAGCAATATTGCCTTCATCACTATGCCACGATTCACACAGGAACCGGATTGCGACCAAACCAGAAGTTGTCCAACACCCGCCAACAACGCCGATGGTGCAAGGGGCACCACATGTATGTTCAGCACTTCCCTCAGGACTGCCGCATCCTTCAGAGGCAACAAGGTTGAGAAGCAGCTGGTCAACCAGGTAGAGAAGCAGCCGGTTTGGGGGAGAAGCAGGGGGCCACATTGCAACAATGATCAGCCCCACTGCAACAGGCTCCAGCCAACAACAACGACCAGTCTGCCAAAACCTTTTACTGTTATCATTGTCACCCACCAGGTCATATTGGGTGTAATTGCCCATTGTTGTTGCAGGGAAACAGGTGCAACACACAGTGAACGCAGCGCACTGTGTTGACAAGGACCTCGCCGCACCCCCTCCTATTGTTCTACCTTTGCAGATTCAAAATTCTTGCATCCTGGCATTAGTGGACACCGGGGCTTCTCATGCATTTGTGTCCCAACGGTTAGTCGATTCACTAGGCCTTTCCCCAAGTCCTTGCTCCGTTCATGTGTTAACCACATTGACCACAAATACAGCTTCCGTAGCTCAACAGGTGAAGATCAATTTTACATTTCAAGGCTTGCAATACTCAATTCCTTTTTTGATTTTACCTCATTTGTCTGATCCCCCTATTCTTTTGGGACATTCAGCCCTCCGACAGTTTCCTCTAGCACTCACAATCAACGGAGATCAGGCGTTTGTTGGATTTCAGCGGAATATCCAGAATCGTGCGCCAACCTTGTTCAAGATCAGGGAAGGGATAACTTTCACAGATGGGTCAAACGCGGAACAAACCAAGGTCCAGCAGCTACTCGTGAAGCACGCCGACCTGTTCCACCAGTGGTCAGGTTGCTGTGGATTCTTCCCTGAGCATACTGTGAGACTTCAAACAGTTGCAAACAAAATACCTAATATCTGATCTTTCTGCCAGTCCACCAAGATGAACGCACTATTCTCAACTCTTGTGGACAAGTACCTTGAGGCCGGCATCATCGCCGTATAATTCCCCGGCATTTCTGAGCCAAAGAAAGAACTCTGACTCCAACGCCCCACCACATCGGTTATGGCGCATGGTGGAGAACTATCAGGGGATCAACAACATCCTGACCAATGACCGTTATCCAATGCCGGTCATCCAAGATTTACTCATTGCGCTTGGGTGCAACAATGCATTTTTTTTTTGTCTGGATCTTCATTCCGCATTTCATCACCTGCCTATTGCATTTGACGATCAGCCAAAAACCGTGTTTTGGACCCCGCAAGGTCAGATGCAGTATTGCGTCATGCCATCCGGGTTAAAGAAGGGTCCAGTGGCGTTCCAGGGCGCAGTGAACCACATTTTGCAAGATCATTTGTATGTAAGATGTCTGGCTTATATGGATGATATCATTGTATTTGGTGAAATGTTTGAACAGGTTTGCAAAAATTTGGATGCAGTCTTCATAGCTCTCAACAACGTGGGCGCCGCAGTTGATTTAACCAAATCTACCTTTTTAGCTCAATGCATTGTCTTCCTAGGTCACAAAATTGACCAGACTGGCACGAGACCCCTGGAAAAAGACCTCGACGCATTTAGAAGTTTTCCAAAGCCTACAATTACCCGTCAGCTACAAAGATTCCTGGGGATGGTGACATATTTACACGCACACCTCCCAACAAACTTTAGCAGCAGCAGAGAAGACGCTCCGGCTCATCATACCAGCAAAACCGCAGACCAGGCTAACGTGGAACCCAGAAGCCGATTCCGCCTTCCAGCATCTGAAGGACATCATGGTGGACTCAGCCAGACTGGAAAGAATAGACCCCAGCAGAACGACCAAGGTCCATTGCGACGCGTCACTCACATCATTGGGCGCAATTCTCATACAGATTGACAAACAAGGTAACCCGCAAGTAGTGGAGTATGCCAGTAGAACCCTTAGTGACACGGAATCGCGGTATTCTAATTCAGAGTGCAAGCTCCTAGTGATAGTATGGACGGTGACAAAAAAATTCCGCCATTATCTAAAACTGCGGGACTTTATTGTCTATGCAGATCACAAAGCTTTGCTGGGGGAATTAAAAACTACCAGACTGATTTATTTGCAAACTAAGCTTGCGCTGTTTCGGGCCAAATTAGTGTACAAACCGGGTCGATTTTTGAAGGGGCCGGATGCCTTGAGTAGAGTATCAATCAACACCACCAAGGGACAAGAAGTTCCAGACAAAGCCAACTGGGAATGGATCATTGACAGCTACCATCAGGAACTCGGACACGCAGGCTGGAAAACCATTTACCAGACTCTCAGGAAACGCTTCGCTTGGCCATCCCTTTGGCAAGACGTCTGGAAATGAATCCAGTGCTGCGCAACGTGCTTTTGATACAATATTGCAACGACCCAGGTGGGAACAAAGCTGCAGCCAATAGTCTCATCACACCCCCAAGAGCAACTAACCATTGACTTCTACGGACCTCTACCACTCACTACAGAAGGATACCGCTATGCTATCATCGCAGTCAATCATTATAGTAAATATATGATCGCAAAGCCCGTCCAATCCGCAGATTCAACCATGGTAATCCCATTTTTGGCGGAACTGTTTTGCCAATTTGGCCTTTTTGATTTTGTTCACTCAGACAGTGATTCGGAATTTGGATCAAGAGCTTTTAAGTGGTTTTTACGTTATGCAGGAGTGCAGCAACATGTTGCCCAGGTGACGCACCCAGAAGGGAATGGCTGCTGCAAAAGGGCCATTTGGACGCTACATCAAATACAATCCAAGTTGGTACAGGGCAAATCGGCATTGTGGAGTACGACAATCCTGCAATCGGTTGTGGCATACAACAATACGCTGCATTCAGCCATCAGGGTAACACCCACCAAAGCCTTCTTCAACCTACCAGCAATCCTAGAATCAGACAAAAAATTTGGAGTGGAACCTCCCCCAATAGACCAGGAGCTGCAGCAGATACCAGAGATCAATGCAAAAGCCCAAGACAGTTTTGCTCAATCGGCCAACCGCAAGAAGTGGCCAAAGTTCCAACCGGGCAACTTGGTGGCTATTTGTCCCCGACTACCAACTGTCCAACAGCACGCAGCCAACCGGAGATTTTGCACATTGCAATTGGGATCGTTTATTGTAATTCGCAATTTGGGGCAGGGAGAATATCATATTGGGGCAGAAAAGCATATAACCAGGGCTGATGCCTGGGAACTCGTACCGGCGCAAGGGCTACCGCGTCCCCCAGACCCTATTTGGTCTTATCATATGTCTCCATTATTTCATCCTCTGTCACAGGATCAATACCTTGACGCCGCGTTACCATTAGCAAACCCGTCCATGGGATTCAAGCCTCAACCAGCAATCTTTAGCCACCACAATTATCTTTTGCCGGCCCCGCTACCGCAACTTGCGCCAATCATACCTATTTCTCTTCCTAGAAAAATGTGTCATCTCACCTGTTGAGCTCTTCCCTGACCCATTTTTCTCAGGGGGGGGGAGTAAGGGCCTCCCATGGAAACCCTTAGGAACAACATCTACCCTTAGGAACCGTACTAATATTGAGCCACCAGATATCCCACCCAGATTGACAACCGGATGCAAGACTACCATCTGAACTGGAGGAGAGGTGGCGAGGCCGAGATCTGAAGCATCAGAAGGAATTTGACTCTTGACGAGCACTGTTGTTTTTATACTGGACCATTGCCTTTATTGTGTGATCAGTGTTGTGAGTGTTTGCTGTTGTCTACGGGACTTGGTGGAGGAAATAAACTCTGCTCTAACGTGGCGCTGCCCAAGGACCAATCTGTCAGACTTTATTAAATGAAGTGGCACCTGGTTTACCGCAGTGCAGCAAACCGGGTGATTAAGATAATGATCTGGGGAGAAACGGAAACCCAGCAAAGGCTCCAAAGCCTACACTCTTCTACAAGCATTGCCTGATGGCGTTTTGGTTGGCTTTGTTCCTGGGAGGAATTTGTCTGTCTGTTTGACATGTTGTGTGTTTGTGAGAGTGTTTGAGAGTTGTTCTTCCTGTGGGTTGCTGAGTAAAAGTGAGCTTGTTGAGGGACTCCCTTCTGGAGGATCTGGCCTAGTAAAGGCTGAGCCCATTTACAGTGGTACCTCGTACTACAAACACCTCATAGAGCAAACATTCTGTATAACAAACGTTTTTTTTTTGGCAAAAATCCGCCATTTTCAGCCCCGTAGAACAAACAAATTTCACATAAATGTTTTTTTTTTTTACCTAAAAAATCGGAAAAAATTGAAAATTTTTGAAAATTTCTATTATTACTGTAAAAAATTGAAAAAATTACAACAATCATACACAATATTAATACAGTATTTGATGGGGACGAGAAGAATTTTATTTAACAC